GGGGGGGGGGGGGGGGGGGAGTAGGAAGGAAGCAAATATTTCCCTGGTGCTCTTGTTCTATTTCTGTCCCCTTCAGCCTGCTTGTGCCAGTCTGTGGTCCACGTAGCACTGACCTGGATCATCACTGTCAAAGCAGATCCAGTTCATCAACTAGTTCGATCGCTGCTATCAAGTTTCCACTGCAAACACTGTCCTATAACCCGACAATGACAACAAAGGCTGCGCTGGGTTGTAAGAGAGGCACCGCTGCACTAAAGCCAGACCCTTGACTAAAGCCCATAGGCATGCACTAATCAGGATCAGTGGGGAATATAGCTTATAACCGGATGGTCTGTAGGCCTATATAATGTAGTGTTTAAGCCAGTTGTGGGCAATCCAAAGACCAATCATGCTGGATTAGTTTGCTATCCACACTGAAGGGCCTCGGTAACCATCATGACAACTTGAGCAACCATACCGGAGCAGCCTGTCAGAGGCCCCACATTCATTAATTATTGAATATGTGGCAATTGACATAAAGTGGCCAAGAATGCGTCAATTCTCAATACAAAATTCAACAAATGAGACAGCAGGATAATATTTGCATATCCAGAACACAGGGCACATTGTGGAAACCTCCACCACTTGAGACCAACATATGGTCCACATCTCTGCAGCAGCAGCAGCAGCATGACAGCAGGCTGGACAGCTCCACCACAGACAGCACTGCATTGGCTCGGGCCTTCCACAACAAACAGCACAAATGTGTGCTGCAGCCAAAATCAGTGCAAACCACAGCCTTTAATGTGCACCCGCTGCGTGCCATTAACCAATCCCGACGAGCGTGATTGGTAATTATAGGAACCGATCATGTGTTTAATCTCTAAAATTGGCTACAGTGAATGACCTTGAGGACAAACATTTTTTGCAGGAAGATGACAAAACGGAATTGTTCCGCGGAGCGTTGAGCTGAGAACAAACCGCTCGACATCGCGCAAACTGCGGTGTTTTTAGGTGGTGTGTGTGCGGGGGGGATATCTGCCTCATATCGCACAGGCCACAGGTATGAATGACTTGTTCAGCCCCAAACGGAGGCCAACAGATGCTGTTTTATTTCACGCTTTGGGCAATGACATCTGAGTTAATGCTATTAAAGCTAACCGCCTCCTGTGAGAGCAGAGGGAGCTGCTGCTGCTGCATTCCGATGGAAACGACGCAGTGAGAGCATTTTCACATAGATCCCACCATCCTGCACCTAATGACATCTTTGCATGCGCATCGGGGTGAAAAAAACAACAAAATTTCATAACCAAACCAGACCTATTTTTAAAACACAAGGCAGCTCCCTTCGGTGCCACCGCAGTGCCACACGTCCGAGGGCGCAGAAAAAGGCAACTAATTGCGCAAATCTTGATGTTAATTCGTCAAATAATCCTTCACTGTCTTTATTTTATTACATTTTTTTCTGGTTGTTTCCAGGCAAAACGCAGCAGTGGCTTCATTTTAAAGGATGCGCAGGTGCCCGTGTGCCAGCCCCCTTTTTTTCCTGCTCGATCCCCCCCATTCATCCAAACAGGAGAAAAAATATGAAAAATAATGCGTGACACATTCACATAAACCATCCACTGCTCCCTGCGTGTAATAATCTGAAAACATCCAACACATATTACATCTGCAGGCATTCACTTCTTACCTTATTACAGCCTATATTTGGTGATATCGGAATAAATCTGCTCTGGCTTCTGCAAAGTACAGAAAACCCCCTTCCGATGGAAAACGTTTGCCAAAAAGGGATTAATTTCAACACACTGCTCGCCTCCTTTTTTTAAAAAAAAACACCCGCTAATGAAATTTCTGGATTTTCCCGACGTTATTCCAGATGAGGCGCAGCAGGGACCGATCCCACGCCAGTCTTTGGTTATGCGACTACAGGAGCGCGGCGTCACCCGTGTGCATCACAGCCTGATCATAAGTTCACTGTTGCTCTGCTGCTCGGTTTGGGTTCAGCTGGATCCTGTCACGTTATAACCGGATCTTTCATCGTGTTGAGGATGGTCAGCCTCATATTTCATCATCAGGAAATCAACATTTTTTTTTTTTTTTGCATTGTGGTTTGTACGCGCAAGATTGTGCTATTAATTTATGACCCCTGCTTGGTTAAGTAGACTGCTGCAACTGATGAGAAGATTCTGTGAACCTAAAGCGAAATATGTTTTAGTCCTATGGTCATTAAAGGCGGCTTTTAGAGGAATAATTGATTAATTGATTAAACTAAGGCTGGATAAGCCTCAAGGGGGCCCCTAGAAAACCCCATTCACAGTGGGTAGGGGCCCCCATGGTTTTAGGAGTCACCCACAGATCCCCATGAGAAGATTTAGATCACACACACCAAAAGGTCACCAATTTTCTTGATGTGTTTATTTGAATATTCATAACCTGAATGTTACACACTGGACCTTAAAGGCTGTGTTTAAAGGTCCAGTGTGTAACATTCAGCAGGATCAACTGGCAGAAATGTAATATAATATTCATAGATATGTTTCCATTAGTGTACAATCACTTGAAAATAATTATTATTGTGTTTGTTGTTACCTTAAAATCAGCTATTTTTATCTATGGTGGGTCTGTTTGTGAACCGCCATGTTTTCTACTGTAGCCCAGAATGGACAAACCAAAAACTGGCTCTAGATAAGGCAGTTCATGTTTTTTAGTGTGTCTCATGGCCACCTAGTTTTTGTCGTGCGGTTGGGAAAGAGGGGGAGAAATGAGGGAGTTGCATTAGGTGCCAGTAAATCTTACACACTGGTCCTTCAATTACTTACTATTCACTGAGCTTTCAACCGTATCCCCTGGCCGTCTTCATATGTGTCTTCAAGGTCAAAAATGAACCTCCATGCTCCCTCTTCACACTGTCAGGGGATAAAATTCTTGTGGGAAATCCTTTATTTATTTATAGATTTATTGTTGTCATACTTAAATATATTGAGTATAAAAAAAACATAGTTGTATGTTAAATGATTAAAGGATTTTCTTTAAACAATACTGATATATCCCTCTGTACATTTACAGAGTTATTGTTCCTCCTGTCCATACCGGCTCTAAAGAAACCCCTTTGTGTTTCCAATGTACAGTAAGAGATGAGGGTCAGAATCCTCTCTTTCAGTTGAATCATATTGGGACAGTGTCTTTTCACAGCCGGTATGGACAGTAGGAATGATTACAGCAACCAGTAACTCTTATATTTGAGGTCTGTGGTAATATAGGCTTTAAAAAGTCCTTTAGCCACAACTTACTTACGATGCTACTCTTGTGGTTGTACGGTAATTATAAAACCACTGCCGGCAGCCAGTTAGCTTAGCTTAGCATTAAGACTGCAAACACCTATCATGGCTCTTTCCGTAGGCAACAAACTGGACTGTTTCGTGGCTGGAAACAGTTGCCAGGCAACCAGGTGTAACGCCAGGAAGTCACTGCTCCAGGCCAAGAAATAGTCCAAGATTTATCCTAACTGTAAAACCCCAACATGTTGTTTTAACACTTCAGATGTGTTGATAAGTGAGATTTAGAGGTGCTGGAAGATTTTGTCACCTTGGGACAGAGCCAGGTTAGCTGTTTCCCCCTATTCCCAGTATTTATGCTGAGCTAAGCTCACCTGCTGCAGGTGGTGGCTTCGTATTTACCAGACAGACGTGAGAGCGGTATCAATCTAACTCTCAGCAAGAAAGCAAATAAGTGTATATCTCAAACTGTTCCTTTTAACACCTTCTTGTTGCACATCAAACCTGAGGTCAGGTAATATTCCAGGAAAAAATTTACACAGTGCACAGACAGTGGGGATGAACGAGGGGTTAGTAGGGGCCCAGGAGCTTATTTCTGCCCTGTCCCCTCCAAACACATTGATCTAAAATCATACTACATTTTAACCATAAGCCACACGCCTCTAAACGTTTTCTGTTAGGTGTGAATTGGACCATAATGTTGGCAGAAGTGGGAATCTGTAAAATCTACAGCAGGTAAAATAATAAAGAAGAAGTTTCTGATTCATGGGGTCCCCTCAAGAACCCAGATAAGGACCCCTGGAGGACACCGGTTCGGGAGCCGCAGATGTAGGTCACCTTTGTTAAATCATGTGTTTTCAAGCACAGATGAGGCTCCCAGCCAAAGTAACTCTCAGACGTGTGGACCCACATCCAAATCTGGATCCATTTAAATTTCTATTATATAAAATCTTCACACTGCATCCTGTCCTGTCAGAATAGATCTCACTAAAATGGGGAAATAAAAAGTCTCACACAAATCTCTGATTACTTCTTAATTTAATACTCACATACAGTACAGTATACACATAAGATATCCTTTACATCTCACGAACACAAAGGCAAACAGTTAAATACATAGATAACTTTAGCACCAGCATAGAGCACTGATCCACTCAGCTTTCTCTAAAACTCTTATTCATAGTGATTTTCAAAATAAAACACCTTAGCTTGATCTCACTAGGCATGGCTTACATGTAATATCCTTACAGCAGCATTCACTTACAAAGGTTAATTGATTAAAAAAGGATGCATACTGTACACCAAAAGTGGTATACAAAAGCAATACTATATTATATACCCATTTACATGGCCGTTTAGGTTTTCTCAGTGTAACATTTAAGAGTTTTTATTGTGTTGTGACAACTTCTGTATCAACACTGATGCTTGATAAAAACATAGAAACATATGAATTTAAAAAAAAACTTTTGTATGAGTATATATGAAGAGCCTATGGAGATAGAGTTGGCATGTAACAATCTTGCATATCGAAAACATAAATATATCACGTTCACAATGCTCTCGTTTTTCTTTATATATACTAACAAGAGAGCTACAGTCTTTCTATGTAGGCTATGTTTTGTTTAGGTTATACTGTTTTTTTAATATTAAAATTATAATAAAAAACAATGACAAATCCAATGGGAACATTACTTTTTTTTTTGTTACACAGTAATGTGAAAAAATAGTATCAAAATGATTTTCTACAGTAAATCTCTCAGTCAAAAAAGCAATGTAGTATTTAATGCACCATTTTTCCGTACAGTTGTAGATATGTTTTCAGCTTGGTAAACGCAAGTAAACAAGATCCTATTGTGAGATTTGACAAAGGGAGAGTTTCTTAAGGTATAAAGAGTTTTCTGTTATACATTTCTTGTCAGATGATGAATATATATATATATATGTATATATATATATAATGAAATCTGCATGCAGCAGACATGTGCTGCTCATTAAAGTTTGTGAGACAAACATATTTCTTACACTGGCCGTCTTTCACTGATTACATTATGTTAATGTGTGTATGAAGGATGCATTCCACAATCTGACGGGTTTTAGTTCAAAATCTGTGCCAAAAGTAGAGTAAGTAAGTAGGAGAGAAAGAGCAAGAAAGAGAGCGGTGAGTTCTGTGATTCATCACTAAAAGACATTGTGGAAATCTTCAGCAAAATGTACCAAGAGGGTCCAAAGTGTGGAACTCACGTCTGTAGACCTCAGGCCAGTGAGCCAATAAGAAGAGAGTTGGTTTCCAGATATGAGATGGAGCACTTCCTTTTCCCCCCATTCATTTAACCAGATTTGAACGTACAGAGTTCAGTTTGGCCCACAACTTTACTGATTTTGGCTGCAGCTGTTTTCAGTGAAAAAGCTCTAAAAACCAACTGTACACCACCTGCTCAGCACCAAACAGACAGTTAGAAACTAGCTGGTGAACATAGTGCAGCATTTGGCGGCTAAAGGGACAAATATTTCCCTCAGGAGTTGTTAGGAACCAGAAAACAGAGCCACAAGAGAGCGAATATTTGGACTTACATTTGCCAGGAAATTAGAAACTGTAAATGAGCAACTGTTTGCTAACAAGGTCCCCATATAAACTGGTAATATGTCAATGTTGTGTTGACAATTTGTTTATGCTGCCCCCAAGTGACAACAAAATCAGTTACTGCAGGTTTAAGTAGTGTTAATGTTACATTTTCTGGCAGGTAAATTAATAAAAGTGAATTTAACAATATATCTGCTCAGTAATACTGGCTTTCTTGGATTTTTATATTTGTTTTACACAGAAGTTACAGTAGCTACTGTCTCGTTCTCAGCTGCATATTTGCTTTAATATTTTTGTAGTAGAAAAGGAAGTGATGCAACACACTTCTGGGGACCCTGAAGGACGCCACTCTCTTCCCATTGACCTCGTTCAAATGTACTGTTGGATTCAAGGGGAAATATATCACAGAAGGTTTTCAGAACTTAGTCTGCTTTAGTTTGTCGATGTGGTAACAAAGCTTCAATGCCGGCCCCAGCTTCAGTCCGAGGTACTTCATGATCATGTCGCTCTTGAGGAGTAATAAAGCGTTTCCATCGATCTCCTGAGAAAAGCAGAAGAAGTTGGCGTCAGCTCTAAAACAAGGTAATTTCCTCCAGATGGGAAATTAAATCAGCAATGAAACAAGGCAGCATGTTGAGAACACAATTGACAACAAACTTACATGCTTCCTAAAGACGTCTGCATGGGGGCCGAGAGCCTGTGGGTCTGCATCCCTGATGAACCAGACAACATCTTCCACAGACCAGGTGGCTGGGTCTTTATTGGGTGGAGCCTTGGACTCCTGGGACTCTGGAGATGCGTTATAACCTCCTGGAAGAACCAAGCAAAGAAAAGGACCTTTACTTTTTGTACCTCAGATAAATAAACACCAAAGCAATGTTGTATTTTTTTCCACTTCTTCCCACCTGTCCTGTTGCTCTCCGGGAACGTGTTTGGGCTGGTGGATGACTGCCGGCACATGTTCATGGAGGCCGAGCTGTTTGAGAACTGCTGAGATGAACGGAACCCGTAGGAGGTCTTCGGCGAATAGGACGAGCTGATGGAGTTGAAAGCAGAATCGCCGGGGTCCACGGAGTAGCGTTTGCCGTCGGACTGGTCTAAATGGTAGTCCTCGGCCATAGATGTTTCCGCTAGAGAGAGTGAGTGAAAATTAGCTCAAATAATTTGTTTCTATCAGTATATATATGTCTATTAGAAAGTTGAGAAGTACCATCTGACTGGTAAGAGCCACCACTGTGCTGGGTAATGGGCTGATCACTGAAGAGGTTTTCACAGTGCAAGCTGCGGCAGAGCTTCTTCAGAAAACGAAGCACATAGTCGATGCTGTTCACCACGGGGAGGCTGAGAAGGTGCTGCTTTCCATCGAATGTGGCTGTGAGAGCAAAACAGGGGACCACTTGACATCACAGTGTAGATGCAATCTCTCACAAATTAGGTAAATAAACCTCTACTAATGCATGTTTTCCACCTCAGGTAAAGTGGTTAAAAAAAGCTACTGAACAAATAGAAAGCAACACCTGAGGGAGGTCTTTGTACAACACCTGATATTTTTTCTCCCCCGTAGCCTTGTGTGAGGAGGGTGAATACTGTTTTCTGCTGGAAGGCGCTGTCGATGCAGCCTTGGACGGCCTGCTGGAGCACCACCGAGGGTCGGTCCGGTCCAAAGTGATCAGGGAGCTGCTGGATCTTCTTCCTGTCCAGGTTGGGGCCTGTGTTGGCCTGTTTGTTGATGTAGATACAGACTGATACAGGGAAAACACAAGTGGAGAAAAGTGTCTTGAAGCAAACCGGGACTGGATTGTAAAGACAAAAAGGCCTTTAATTCTTCTTATATGGGGTTTAAGTGTGTTTTGTGTCCTACCTGTGAGCACCTGGGGTGTGGCAGAGTGGGGGATGGTGGCGGCATCCTGAGGAATGGAGCTCATATCGGGCTCAGGGGTGCTGCTGGGTGGAGAGATAGCCAACGGCGTCATCACCATCCTAGGTTTGAGCTGCAGTAAAAGGAAGTTTTTGCATTTATGTGTTTATTCCAGGCAAATCATTTATTTACTGAGTCGTGTACTGTTGGGAGAGGGGAGGTGGTGGAATACCAAATCTGTGTAAATCTGTAGTTTTTATGCTGCTGATGATGAATTTTGTGTGTATTTCTGAATAAAAACAGACATGTTTACAATAATGTCTTTCCCTTCTTGCATAAAAATACTTCCCTAATGTTGGACTACAGCTACACAGATGTTAAGACTCTGTTACACAGGGGTCCCACAAAATCTGAAGGGCATGGAGCCTGTGTGTCTGTGTCTTTCTGTGTACACATGCATTTTTAAACACACTGCACTCACACACCACATCACATCCCCCCTCCCTTATTTCTCCCCCCCCACCCTCATCTGGCTGACCTTGAAGCCCGGCTTTCTCCCCCTCTTCTTTGGCACTTTGAGCGGAGGGAGTGACTCGGGGTAACGGTTAGGAAAATCCATCTTGGCGACATTGCGGAGCGGGGGTCTCCCTCTCTTCCTGCCCGGTATCTTCCCCGACTGGCTGGGGATGAAGGAGGGAGCCACTGCAGCTGATTGCATTTCACTGTTGTTGCCGTCTGATTTCTGTGCCGTTGCTGCAGGTACACTCATTTGGAGCTGGAGACAAAGGAAGCAACCGTTGAGCTCAAGCTATAGAAATGCAAAGAATCATGCACTTTACTTGCACATTAACCCCCCCCCCCCCCCC